TGATGTAAATAAAATTATAGACTGTTGATTCCATTCAAGAAAAGAAAAAAAATGTTCAAGGCTGAAAATTGAAAGCATAAAAGTCAAAAAACCTGAAGGGAACCCTCCCCGCCAGAAGGCGCCTTTTTGAAATCCCTAAAAAAATCAGATGATGAACTGAACCATAGGGGGCGCCAGAATATGTTTTTGCCAAAATGTCTGGAGATTGCTCTGCTTAAAGACAAATTGCATCATGCAAAATACACAGTAACTATAAATATGAATAAATGCTGCCTTATATCCCTGGTTTCAATGAAAATATACTTCTATGAACAAAATAGAAACAACACTTTTCAAAACCTGGAAAGCTGAAGAAAGCAAAACCAAACCAAACCAAGATAAGATGTTGGAAGCATTCACCTATTTTGCTTTTGACAGTAATCTCCCCCCCACCCCCACGACACACAAAAGTTAAATGTATGTATGCAGCTGTCTTTTTAAATGTAAACTTTTATATTGTAAAATGCTTTAAAAGTTAAGATTGTATGCATGTGTATAATGCTTTAAATGTAAAATTATCCACCTGTCTGTCCGTCCATCGGCCTAACTATCCCCAATATCTGAAATTCTGGCAATTTACATGGGCTTTATTCAGGATTATCCTAGTTCTTCTAACCCAAAATCTCATTAAAAAGCTACATCAAGACATAAACACAGGTAGTCCTCAATTTACAACAGTTCATTTAGCAACCATTCTGTCAAGTGCAGGGGAAATCAGGAGATTCGAGGAAGTTCAAATATATAAAGATTTATTGCAAGCTTAAGCTCCCTATGAGAATCTGAACTACTAACAGTCAAGAGAAATTCAGGAAAAACAGGAGTTAAGAAAGGAATTCACGGTGGGCTGGACTTAGATCTCTTATGGGTGCGCAGGAACTCATGACTGATGATGCATTTGACCCCTCCCTCGGGGTCGGTTTGGTCATCTCCTACACATTCAAAATTACAATGGCGCTGAAAAAAGTGACTTATAATAGTTTTTCACACTTACAACCATTGACTTTGCTTGTCAGAATGTCACAAAAGGGGGATAACATGACGCCAAGACACTGCAACTGTCATAAATAGGAAACAGTTGCCAAGCATCCAAATTTTGATCATGGGGATGCTGCAATGGTTATAAGTGTAAAAAATAGTCATAGTTCAATTTTTTAGGTGCCGCTGTAACTTTAAACGGTCACTAAATGAACTGTTGTAAGTCAAGAACTACCTGTATAGACTTTCCCTAAAAATTAAGTCATATCCAGATCATCATGCCAACAGCTTGATATCGCCAATAACTTAACCAGATAGGATGTTAACTTAGAATTCTTCTCAAGTCATTAAGAATGTTTATGTGGAAAACACCCAAGTTTGCCAAACCATTTGCTATTGACTTGGTATACACATGACATATCTATTTCAGCTCCAACAAGTTGATAAATACTTCAGTTGATAAATCTGCTTTACCTCTTCTCTTCCTGGCAAACTGCATAAGCAGTATCCTGATAAAATCCAAAAATAAATGGCATAAAGTTTTATCTAAGATCTATCATCAGAAACAATATAGATTCATGCATTACATTATGCCATGCTTTCTTTCAGGCATCGCTTGTAGAATTAGTTATAATGGCTTAATTCGCATGTGCTTTATAGTTAATGTACTACAGGGGTTGGCTTCACATCTGAAACAAGCCACATATAAGCTCAGGATGGTCCATGAAAATAATTACTGTCCAATCTTTGTTGGAGACCAGAGAGTGGAAGAATCATCCCTAAGGGTTCAAGAGGTAAGTTCAAAGAATTACGCTTACGCATAATAATATAACATTCTGTAACTGTGACTGAACATGAAGGGGGTAATTATATTTTTTAGAACTTTCTGGTAACATGCAAGTTATTTTGATAGTCTGATAAGCCTTGAAAAGACCAGGAAGAATGTACAGAATCCTTCTGCTAAACAAGAATATTTTGCCAGGCAGGTTGGATAACTTTACCCTACTCTACTGTCTACAACAAGAGTGTCAAACTCAAGGCTCAGGAGCTGGATCCGGCCTGCAAGATGCTTACATCTGGCCTGCGGGGGACTCCATGGAAACAACGAAGGACAGGCCTGCCAGCCAAAATGGAGCTCAGAAGGGCTGTGTGCAGCCCTCTCAAGCTACATTTTCAGCTGCAACGGCCTCCTGCAACTCTCTGCCAGCGAAAACAGAGCTCAGTTTTCGCTGGCAGAGCACTCAGGCCACAACAGGTGCCTCCAAGATGAGTGATGTTGAGCTAGCCACACCCACACCCACCCCTGGCCATGCCCACCTCCCTCCCCCAAAGTCAAACACAACCCTGATGCGGCCCTCAATGAAATTGAGTTTGCCACCTCTGGTTTACAACTACGATGGGTACTACCAAGATAAGCCTGAGGAATCACTGAGAGCTAGATTTAGCTCTGCAGAACTTTCCAAGGATATTCTAATCAACAGCTTGAGAGCAATGGGGATTCAAAATGTCTTCATTGCCCTATATTTTCTATAAATTCCCTATAAATGCCCTATAATTCTCCAGGAATTTTCCTCACTCCAGGAATTTTCCAACCTCAGTACCACTAATGGCATTAAAAATTTTCCTGAGAGTAAATATGAAGGAAAAAGGAATGCACTACCTTCTTCTAGACTTCCCTGCCAGAAATGAATAACAGAACTGGATAAAACCAAATATGGTCAGACAAGAAAAATTAAGAATGAAGTCAAAAAGTTCAAAGGACATAGATATAAAATGCCTGAAAAAATGAAATTACTACAGAGGCCAAAGTAAAACAATTTTTTTTAAAAAAATATTGGGTTCTATCAAACTGAAATAGAAAATATATTTTTTCCAGGCAAGGGAAAATGACTTATTTTGGCTATTCCTTCTGACAGATATGGTCTCCTATCCCTTGAGCAAGATGCATGCTTTCAGGAAACAGATCTGCCATCAAAGTATCTAGCTTGGTCTTTGGAGAAAGAGTTGGTAGTCTAGTTTCTACAATATAGACCTCAGATATCTAAGGAATGGATAACTATTCTTAAATACTATATTCAACTCATTCTTACTGCTAAGAGTAGAAAGCCTTGGGGTATCCTTTTCATTTAACCTGTGACAAATCTAACCAACAGCTTCCCTTTCAGACACTGCAAACTCAAAACAGTCTTGACCATTTTCGACACTCTGCACTAGTAGTGGAATACACATTCCTGAAGCAGAGAATGTCAAACATCTGCTTTTATCTTCCAGAAGGGATTGGGATAGAGGATAAGCAACTTGAACTCACTTTCAGAAGTACTGAGTATCTCATGGCTGCAGCCTAAACCAGCAAGAATTCTAGCTCAAAGTTAATCTGGAGAGGAGATTATAACATTAGTATTTTATTAACAGAGCAAAAAAGGTGGGGGAAAGCAAAAAGAAAATCAAGAGCACTTAACAGTGAATACAACATATTCACTTGGACCAAGTTTTTGTGCACTTACTATTAGCTTGCTAGGTTGACTTATTTATTAAATAAAACTGACCGGTTGAATTCTGCACAATTATTAAACTCACAGAGTTTTTAAACCCAATCATACAATTAAAAATATTTAACCTGTATTATGCCTTCTTATCAATACATCTACAACTCTCAGAACAAAAGCCCTTGTTGCAAAACTATACTGTTACATACATCAGTTAAGAGAGAAGACAGGCAGAAAAGTTGTCACCTTCCTCCATTTATATTTCAGTGGGAAAATCGGACAGCTTTTTTCCCCCACCAAAGGCCTTGATTTTTTTTTTTTTTTTTTTGTATCAACTATGTACTTCTTGCTCTGGCAGGCTGCGAAAACAGCTTGCAAAAAAGGGGGACATGAGCAGTCCTTGCATCAACCATGGTAGAGGCTTCCCAGCAATCACACACAGAAAAATATTGGTCATTGCATAGGGATCATAACCAGCGGCAAGGGATCCCTATGAAACGAGGCTTTTACACGAGGAAAGGGGGTGTATTTTCTATCCTGCACGTTGCCCCCCCTCCCATTCAATGCCAAAGACAGCGATTGATACATTCCCCATCTTTTGTTTCAAAAGCCCCCAGCGCATCACACATGTCACCAAGAGCTTCCCTTCCCGTTAGGGCAGGATGCACGCTCGACAAACCCAGCTCTCCCAACCCATCAATGGCTGAGCCGAAAAAAAAAACTTTAAACACCGGAAACCTTCCTCCTCCTCCTCCTCTCAATGCTCCCGAAGGCGGCTCAATCCAACACCCTCGCCCGGCCGGATTGTATTTCCTTCCAACATGATCGAAGGCTGAACTTACTGCCAAAAGGGGGGGGGAGAGGAGGAGATGTGACAAAGGCGACCGCAGGCCCTTCCCTCTCTCTTTCTTTCTTTCTTTTTCTTTCTTTTTCTTATTAAAAAAAAATAATTTAAAAAAAGGATCTAGGAGAGCAGAGCCAACATCCACCCCTTCAGTTGCGCCTAGCTCTCCTTGAAAACCGCTCTCGCAGTCCGGCGTCAATTCAATTCCCCTCCTCCAGCGCCTCCCGGCTAGAGCCGGTTTGCTCTGATGCTCCTACTTTTCGGTCTGCTTCGTAAGCGGCTCCACCATTGTCTGCCGGGGCTCTCCGGATCGCGATACACAGGAGCTCAGGTGGCCCGGCCGAGCGAACAAAGAGCAACCGGCGCTCGGAAGGCTGGAATAAGCCGGTCCCGGAAAAGCCCACTCTGGGCTGGGAAGCCCCAACCGAGGAAAACAACGTGCCTTTTACCCCCGCCCTTCGCCTCTTCTCCCTCCCTCCCTCCAAACCAGACTTGTCAACTGCGCATTTGCGCCGAGCAGCGCCGAGGCTGCTGTTGAGCAAGCAGGCAAGCGGGGGCCATATATATATATATATACATTATGCATGTATATAGACTGCTCGCTCTTCAGGCTCCGGGGTCGCGGGGGAAGGCGGGGGGGGGGGGCTCGTCCGTACCTGAGCGAGCCGCGCTCTTTTCTACACCTTCCTTCCTTCCTTCAAGCTGCGGCTTCCTGGAGGATCGGGGGAAGCCGGAGAAGGCAGCGAGCCCGGGATGATCACTCAGTCATTTTGGTCGGTCCTGCAGAGACGCGGGGGTCTCCTGGAAGAGAAGAAAAGCAAGGGTGGGTTTTCCGGGCTGTCCTCGGCAGCGTGGACGCTTCTACTACGAACGTCCATTTTCTCCCTCTTTTCCCCGTTTAGCCCTCTTCCTAGCAAACCGACCCCCCCTTCCCTTCCCCCAGACGCGGGAACCTTGGCTGATCCTCCCTCTCACCCCGATCCAGCACCTAGTTTGACATCGGCACCCGCGATTCTCTTGCAAAGTCTGCAAAGTTTCCCTCGCCTGGCGCTGCCGCTTCTTAGCTCTCTGGCGCTGGATCTCCAAGCCAGGCTGATTCACTTCGGCACCTTGCTAGCTGGTATGAGGCGGGAACTAGGAACCGTCGACGTATTACAGCGAAGGGCTTTTTTTTTTTCTTCTTTTCGTTCAACCGGCTCACCGTTTTGCATAAAACACGAGAGCCGGACTCTGCGTCCAAGTATCTGCTTGCATCATTATTTTTTTTTTAAAGGAGAAAAAAAAATGCGACCGTTCCCCAGTTGGGATCGATCGTCCACCTGCTAGAGCAAAAAGAGGTGAAACTTCACGCCGCGGAAATGATCCGCTCAGTTCCCATCCACGCGCGAGCCACAGCGGACCTTATCCACTCTGGACGCCTGCCCGATATTTCATCCCAGACTCCCAACACTCAAAAACAAGGCTTCCTCTCTGGGTTTATCATCGAGGTGAAGAACTTCATAGATGGTTGTCTATGGAGATTCTCAGTCATCCAGGTCATGGTTGTCCCAAAGGTGCTTTTTCAAAAGACAAGTGGACTTTCTGGTTTTTCTTTGAAGATGTTTCAGCTAGAGCTGAGGAAGCTTCTTGGATGAGAAGAGAAACGTCTTCAGAGAAAAACAAGATTCAGAGCTGAAGAAGTTTCATGGATGAGAAGTGAAATCTTCAAAGACAAACCAGAAAGCCCAGCTGCCTCTTGAAAAAGCACCTTCACAGGTGGTTGTTTTTAATGTTTTTAATTAGGTTGCCCTAATAGAAACCTCTCCCGCTATGGCCACAGATCTGAAGGAGGCTTGGCACAGGTTCAAAACGGTTTAACTTAAGCGGCCACATTAACCACAACAGACTGAGTTAAAATGGAAGAAGCGACCTGAAATAAGTGTTATTATATTATGTATACACTGTGATCATCTCCAGCTTATCTCAGAAACAGTTGTCTGCTATTCAACAAGGTTGAACCCTCAAGGTTATCCATTCCTCCAGTATTGTGGACAAGATAAGGCTATGGGCAGGAAGTTTTGCTGATATACAGGGGAACAGCACAACGTAACTACACTTCCTGTTTGTTGGGCACAACTTGGGAGATCTGGTTTTTACTGGACCCATGAGAGAAAGTCAGTCTATTTGAATACTTTGGAAAGTAATGTGCTGGTGCCTTGCAAGCAACAAGAGCTGGTTAGCTCTGAGCAGTGGAGGTTAGGAATATCTATTTTATCATCAAGTCCCTTTTTGGCACTTCCTTCCTTCCCAAATATCAGACTCTAAAATTGGGAAAGAGACAATGTGGTTTAGCCCTTCCAATGTTGGGCTAAATCAGGACGACCCAGGTTTTAGTCAGCCCTACAAGCTAGTCTACTCCCTCTACTCTAGAGGGAAGCAGCTCACGGGTGCCTTTGTCTTAAGTTGCTCTCATTCAGCTCAACCTTGTCATGGAGAAGAGTAGAAGAGAACACTCTATATCTTGAACTCCTTCATAAAAGGCATAATATAAATGTGTTTGTTGGAGGGTGCCTTTAGGTCATTGTTGACTCACCCAGTTGTGCCTAAGGTGGAATTAGAACTCACCATCTCCCAGTTTCTAGTCTGGTGGACTACTAAAATGATAGGCTAAACATAACAGTCTGCACATAAGTACTTGTGCCATACTATACTGCACTGCCTACATGTAGTCGTCAACTTACAACTGTTATTGAGCCTAGAATTACAGTGATAAGTTGTTCCCGTCCTTAAGCAGGTCACTAGGTAACTGCACCTGACTTGATTCTTTTTTTGCAGCAATTGTTAAGCAAATCCATTGTTGGCAACCAGAAGCATTGGTTTCCGGCAAAAAAGTGTCATAAATTGTGGTCACATGACCACAAACAACTGTAGAAGTGGGCCAGTTGCCAAGCACATCAAATGCAGTCACATGACCTAGGAGGATGTTGGAACTTTGAATTTGGGTCATAAGAAGCCCCGGAGAAGTCCGTCATAACTTTGAATGGTCAATAAGTAACCCATTGTAAATTGGGGACTATCTGTACATCTTTCCTACTCTGATACATCTTCATACAGAAACTGGCTGTGCATACAGGGAAAATGCCTTTACAAGATTTTCCAGAGTTGCCATGTTTTGAAACATCTAAAATGTTCCAGTTTTTACTGTCAGCCCTAAGATGTACATAATGTGCAAATTATTCCTTTAATCCAAGTTGGTGTGCTTCTGAACCAGAAGCCAGACTCTCCTTTTAAAACATGTTTATCACTTTTTAAACATTTCCTTTCTTCTTTACTAATTAAATACAATTTTAAAAGCAGCAGGGTTTTTCACTATAATGGGCGATGCATAATGAGTGGATAGTTCAAGACCAATGAAGTGGTACAAACATTCATAAAGTTAATTTAGTATTGTTTTAAATACCTCTCTATTGCCATGACTGTGAACCAGGTTTTTTTTTATGATTTCTGCATCATAAAAAGATTCTGGATACAATTCTATTCAACCTGCAGGGGAGCAAAGTCCATAAGCAAAGCACTATTAAGTAACACCAGCTACCTGCAATTACTGCAAGTTCAAATCTCACCAGGCTCAAGGTTGACTCAGCCTTCCATCCTTTCTAAGGTAGGTAAAATGATTACCAAATTATTGCCCCCACAAAATGGTTTGTGGGGGCAATAAGCTGACTTTGTATAAAAAAGAACACCGCTTAGGGCCCCCCCGAAAGGCCTACTAAGCAGGTATATACAAAAGTATGAAGGCTATTGCTTAACGCATTGTAAGCCGCCCTGAGTCTCCGGAAAAGGGTGGCATATAAATTGAATCAATCAATCAATCAATAAATAATAATCAGGCACCTAAACAAACTAGAATATATCAAAAGAGCAAGAAACAGGAAGTTTAACTAATTTAAATCTGCTTTGTTCATTCCAATGAAGCAGGGGAAAAAAGCTCAAACAGCTATTATCTAGGACTAGGAAAAGAAAGTCTGTTCAACTGAAGACTCCTCTAACATCCACTATTCTGCTTGCTAGAGTTTCTGCTCTTCTGCTACACACTATTTCCACACTATTCTAACAAGCAAAATCTTACTCTCCTTGAGAGATAAGCAGCTGTTTCTACACAATTATAACTCCTTGAGCCTTGAGGTCTAGACATCAGGGTTGAACCAGTGGTGAAATTTGGCCAGTTCTATCCAGCCAGGGCGAACCGGTAGTGTCAGCAGCGGGAGGCTCCGCCCACCTGCCGGGATGTCATCACGTCCCGTTTTTGTCCCTCTGCACATGCATGGAGGAGGCGCGTGTGAGCGTAGCGAGCACGCTCACATTTGCGAACCAGTAGCAAAGGTAAGTGGATTTCACCCCTGGGTTGAACCCCACTGTCTTCTAGCACAATGTTTCCTAGTTTGGTAATGGATACTTGTACTTTTTGTGTGTATGCTACAAAAACTCTCAGAGAACTGTACTTTGTCTCATTCTATGAGAATGAACTGGGGGAGGGAGGGGGAAGATGCAGAACAACAAACTGTTTGCTGTAAATCCTACCTCTTTTGTATGTGCATGAGACATTGCATATATACATTGCGCAAGGCGTCCCAATTCTTTCTGGATCGGGACGCCTTGCGCACAGTCACTCACGCCCTCGTCACTTCCCGTCTGGACTATTGTAACGCTCTCTACATGGGGCTCCCCTTGAGGAGCACCCGGAGGCTCCAACTGGTCCAGAATGCGGCCGCGTGAGTAATAATGGAGGCAACCCGTCGCTCCCATGTAACACCCCTCTTGCGTGAGCTACACTGGCTCCCAGTGGTCTTCTGGGTGCGCTTCAAGGTGTTGGTTACCATCTTTAAAGCGCTCCATGGCTTAGGACCTGGCTATCTACAAGACCGTATTCTGCCACCGATTGGCTCCCACCGACCAGTATGCTCACACAGAGAGGGCCTCCTCAGGGTGCCGTCAGCCAAACAATGTACACTGGCGACCCCCAGGGGGAGAGCCTTCTCTGTGGGAGCCCCTGCCCTCTGGAATGAATTACCCCCGGACATACGAAGGATCCCCGTGCCTTCTGTCGTGCAGTGAAGACCCTGTTATTCCAGCAAGCCGCTCTGATGGGATAAATGATTTTAATTTGGTTTTAATGGGGTTTTAAAATTGGTTTTAAAATGAGAGTTTTAAATTCAGCCCATAATTTAATTATTTTAATCTTCTCTTAAATTCTATTTTTGTACATTGTTTTTATTATGGCTGTTCACCGCCCTGAGTCCTTCGGGAGAAGGGCGGTATATAAATAAAATAAATAAATAAATAAATATCTCCAAAAGACCGACTTACAGGATTCTATATTGGCCAAGTGTGATTGGACACACAAGGAATTTGTCTCCGGTGCATAAACTCTCAGTATACATGCAAGCAACAAGTGATAAATCGTGATCATAATCATCATAAAAATACATTTATTGTGAATCATAAGAGACAACACTTAGTGATAATCATAGGATACTACATAAGCCACCAACATAAATCATACTACAATACTAAATAAAACAATATAAATCGTAAGATACAAGCAACAAGTTATAGTCATAAGAAGATAAGGAGATAAGTAATAGGAAAGATGAGAATAATAGTAACACAGCCCTACAGTTTGACAGTATTGTGGGAATTAGTTGTTTAGCAGAGGGATGGCATGGGGGGGTGTCCTTGAGTCTAGTTGTTCTGGTGTGCAGTGCCCTATAGCGTCTTTTTGAGGAAAGAAGTTGAAACAGTTTATGTCCAGGATGTGAGGGGTCTGTATAGATATTTTCACAGCCCTCTTTCTGGCTCATGCAGTATACAGGTCCTCAATGGAAGGCAGGCTGGTAGCAATTGTTTTTTCTGCAGTTCTAACTATCCATTGAAGTCTGTGCCTGTCTTGCTTGGTTGCAGAGCCAAACCAGACAATTATAGAGATGCAGATGACAGACTCAATAATTCCTCTGTAGAACTGAATCAGCAGCTCCTTGGGCATCCTGAGCTTTCTGAGTTGGTGCAGGAAGAACATTCTTTGTTGTGGTTTTTTAATGACGTTTTTGATGTTAGTTGTCCATTTTAAGTCTTGAAATATGATAGAACCCAGAAACT